ATCGACGTTGGTAAAACTGAAAATCGAAAGTAAGCGTTCGAAGTTCAACGATAATGGCATTGATACGAAGAGCTGACGAACACAAAGAGCGAGACGGCCTGGCGGAAAATGGTATCATGCTTACAACGAAGCACAATGGTCAATTACAAGTTAAATGAACAAAACTGTGAAAGAAATTCTTTGTCTTTCTGGCATTAAAGTTTTATACTTGCTTGCCCGTTATTTTGGAAAACATCGTTTATCTCAACAATTAAGGTAATTTTACTTACTTTTTTTTTGTAATAAAAATTAGTCATTTTCATTTTTTTCCCACTATTTTTTAAATTCTGTCATCCATTTCTAAAATTGACCATACGATGATCAAACGCTGATGGCTGACCATCATTGTTGGTCTAATGTTCATGTGTCGTAGCGCGACTAATTAAGCCGCAACACCGCGTCATCGGACCCGTTAATTGGTACAACGATTAAAACCATGGACGGACGCGAGGTATCGTTTTGCATAGGACAAGGTCAGAGTCCTAAGGACTGCAGCACCGCTCGACGACAGCAGGATTCCTTTCCGCCGATAGATTCTACGGATTGCCAACTGCGTAAAGTATGAAGAAAGATGTAATCGATTCCTATATTCATTATGCACACTGTCTATATATCAAAAAATACGAATGTTAAACTCTACGAATGACGGTATCTACTAAACGAGACAGGTGAATTATTAAATACAAGATAAATATATTTCTACACTTATTAATATAAGCACAGTATTCGTACACCGATCAATTTCCAAAAAAACTATTTGAAATTGTAATTTATTAACTTTTTCTTTTATAAACAATGATATTCTACATATTCTTGCAAATCTCTAGAATAGATATAGTACAAAAAAAATTAGTTATTTATAGAAGTTGCGAAATGAACAAGAAAAAACAATGAATCGACAGAAATACAGAAGCAATAAGTATTCGTACAAGTGTTAAATTTTTACCATTTCAAATTTGCATTAATTTATAATTAATTAATATATCGTGGGTTTTCCTTTTGATTTTATAATTACTACAAATCTTCTAGCCATATTAAGTTAATTGTCATAAATGTCGATTTTATTCGGAGTAGGAACTTCTCTCGTTCCTTTATTAGAGCATTTTTTGTCTTTTTTACTGGAAATTCAATGTTTTCTAATTCTCACGGAGCAATAAACTGATATGCTTATGTTTCAAACTCTACTGTAAATTGTAAAAATAGCTATTTATGTAAGTTGCGAAATTAACAAGAAAAAAACAATTAATCGATAGAGATGTTGAAGCAATAAATATTCGCACAACTGTTTAAAACTACTTTACTGGAAATATGATGTTTTCTAATTCGTACAGAGCAATAAACTAATGTGTTTACGTTACAAACTCTACTGTAAATGGTTCGTCATAAGAACCGTGCGAATACTTATTGCTTCTATATTTCTACCAATGTTTCGTATTTTTTTATCAATTTCGCGAATTATATAAACCAGTAATTGTTGTTTGAACTATATTCTAGAGATTTCTGAGAATATGTAGAATATCATTGATTATAAAAGAAGAAGTTAAAAAACTACAATTTCACACAAATGTTTTTTGGGAAATTGATCGATGTACGAATACATTCTACACCCATTGTACATTTTTCTACCCCTTCATCTCTAGATTGTAGCTCCTACTTTGGAAAACACTGCTTTAGGTAATGATAGATCAGATTGTTCGGGGCCAGTGTCGAGGTCACTAAGTATGTCCATCAGTAACCTCGAGTTTACGTGAAATAACGCGCAATCCGTTAATATTATTCAAGCAGGGATTCCCGCTATTTACTATAAAGCAAATATGATTGCCAAACGCCGAGATAGTAGATAGGAGAAAATAGCGCATGCAAGCATTTTCCACATAAAAACGTACAAGATAACAGAAACGGAGCATGTCAACACTTGAAACAGTTTTTAGAAACGCATAATAAAATATCAACGATTAACTACAGCCTCGTTCGCCGACTCGCACTCTTTCGCCGTGGTTCTACAACATGTAGCAATTCTCGTATCCGTGTTCTGGCACTGTTTTTTACATGGGAAATAACGTCGTCAAATTAAAACAAAATAAAATACGAAAATTGCTCTGCCAACGTCGGGGTTCAAGACCTCAGGTACAAATACGGACGCTGGGATGATAACGTTATCCATAGAATTATGGCACAGCTGTGTTTGCGCGTAAACACGAAGGAAACATTAACGAGACCTCGTCCGCAGAAGAAGATTAACATTTTCGAGCCGACGTGTCTGTTGCCAATGGAAGCCAGCAACACCGAAAGGCTCCGTTTGCGATGTTTACCATCGGCGCGCACGTATACTGCGTAACAAAGATAAAAATCTGAGAGAGAAGTACGATCCTCCAGTGTCTTGTTATCTACAAAGACAGGTCACTCGAGTTCGAGAGTTCCGTATGCAAGAAGAGCAACCAAAGATAAACGCACGATAGGAATCTTTCTCAACGGACGATACCTGTCCAGGAATCTCGCTGAAAGATTACGAAAAGTTTCTTTTGACCTATTTCCGAAGATGCTGCACTCCGTACCCCCCCGGGAGTTTTCGTGATTTGGAGAACGATTCGCTCGAGATCGAATCGTCTCGAAGATTCGTTTCGTAAAAATTCGGACAGATCTTTTCCCTGGCTCTCGTTCCGCGGGCCCGGAATCTTGGAAAGTGGAATTCCGCGAAATTTTGTCGTCACCCGACGTAGACGTGTACGTTTCAGGTAAATCGAAAAAGGTCACTTGGCTCCACGGTTAGGTTGGAAGTTTCGTAGCACGCGTAAACGAAGGACTCGAGAGAAGATGGGTGATTAAGTGGAATCTGTCGTAAACTCACCGAAAGGACGCTCGAAGCACCTCACGAAACTCCTTTGTATCCAGGGCAGTGAAAAATCCTCGTGGTGACACCGCGATTACCGAGTTTTGCATACATCTAAACACACTCATTAACACCAGCCGAGCACTAAGAACGAATTAACCGCGCACGCTTGCCTTGACCTCGCGATCTGACCGGTAGATCGGTAAGGATTTCACGAAAATCACATTGATAGCGTTCCGACCGTCAGCTTGCTTCGGAGATCATAGACCAGCTGTGTTTTTGCCCGACCATTGAGGATCCCGTGCATGCGCATTATCCTCGCCGCCATTTTGACTTTCTCAAGAGTAGGGAAACACACCGCGCGCTATTTAAAGATACATTAACCACGTGTTACACGAATTTTATTTTACCCTACCCTGAACGACAATTATTTCTTCATTATTTATACTGACCGTATAGTCTTAATTATTTCTGCTTATTAATATTCAAACTAAACTCTGATACTGCTATTCTAGCCCTTGGAATGACGATTGAAAATAATTAAAAGTCGATATTTGTATAACAAAGAAATTTTCTGTTTGTAGGTTTTATCACCTAATAAATATATCTACTCGTTTATCGACATATTTATCAATTAGATGTACATGCCTCATACTGTAAAATCTTGTATCACGTTTCCTCCTTCACTTCATGACTAATACGAATTTAACATCAATATTCACTTGAATTTTGATAATAATTGCGAAAGTTAGAGAATGCTGTGTATTTAATGATAATTTCATTGTTTAGATAAAGATGTGAGCGATCTAATTATGAATCAGAATCAAATGTTCGTAATACAAAATTTTCAGTTTTTTTCATTCGTTCATTTGCGTAGATTCTTTTTTAATGATTTCGTTGTATTCAATTATAATAAAAAAATAAACATTGTTCCAAAACCTTACCAATGTAAAAAAATCGGGCCCCTCCGGGATTTGAACCCGGGACCTCCTGCACCCAAAGCAGGAATCATACCCCTAGACCAAGAGGCCTGATGTTAGAACGTTTAATAATTTATTATATTAACAACAAATTAAATGTTAACAATGATTTGAAAATGCAATTATGTGGAGATATATACAATATAATAATTAAGTGACAACAGAATCTGTTGGTCAATATTCAACAAGATATAAAATAGTATGACGAAACTTAGTACTAACGTATACATTATTATACATTACGCATAATTGTTATACAAAACTAAAATCTTGAACTTTTACGCATGCAAATGCATAAATATATAAAACTACCTTAAAAATCTTTTTCAACTGAATATACTCAGCGAGTAAGTACGAGTACGACTATTATAATCATACCAGAGGAAAGTTATTTGGTCAACAGAACTATATTTTCAATGCAGCTGATTGTTTATATGAAATTAAATGAATTAATCTACAGATCAGTGTGAAATAAATTGCAAATTCGGTGCAATTTTCAACAAAACATCCAAATTTGTTGTGGAATAGTTTTCACTACTGGTCCTAGATGACGCTATCTATCAGTATTTGTTGTAGCCTACTTATATTTTTTCTTTATTTACATATAAACATAATTTTACACCATGCTAAGCAAAGAACGATAAATGAAATAAAAGAACGATAAATTGAGCTCATAACCTCTTACAGACTAGAACTTGTCCAAAATACATTTTTTCAGTAACGATGTAACAACTGTAACTAATTGGTTTAAAACCTTGTTGTACAAAATAAGGGTTGAAAACTATGACTCACCTGAATTTTAATGTGACATAACTCGTAATTAAGGGTTAGTTAATATTAAATGCAATAGAATAAACCGTTTGAATAAATTGTTCTATCGAGAAACGCGACTGGTGGCTCCACCTAGCGTCTTAAGTGAGAATAGCTTCACTAGCAACTAATACGTATTCCCGCCTGTTCCCGCCAAGTGAGATAATCAAAAGTGTGAATATATCGTTTATTGAAAAGCACTTGTACGATATAACTTTTCCTGTGGTAAGTTTTTGTATTTCAACTTTGTAAAATTCAATTATTTCGGATGCACAATGCTACAAACTTCATGACAGGTTCATATAACCCATTACAAAAGCTACGAGAGAATGAAACTTGGGTAACGTATCGTACTGTCTTTATTGGCGACACGCGTAATAAACGTGTTAGACATATTATTCTTCCATAACAAAAATAATTACAATTAGAAATCGCACAAAATGCATCATATCAAATCCATGTAAACGACACTTCATGATACGCTCATGTATTTGTACATTTACACAAATGGCTACAACAAGCGTTCTGCTTTCAAAGTTCGCTACGATTATGAAAAATCTCCGATAAGAAATTTTACGACCAATCAGTGTTTTTACATGCTTTCTTGTATTAGAAAAGTGATTTTGAAAGATTCATTCTTGTTATATGTGGTGTCATACGAACGTTACTTTCTAAAAATCTTTGAATTGATAATTCCAACGCGATCGAATATCTTCAACTTTATCTTTCCTTTTATAAATAAGATAAATGAAATATTTTGTCAAATATGAAAACTTCGTGTAGTATAAAACCGCTCGGTCGAATATTCCTTGCATCCGTGAATGAGATATACATACGTTAAAGATGATACAATTACTCGTGTTACACATTCTTGCAATTACTGTATCTATTAGAAATATTAGTTTACGATAGAGGTTGTTCGATCATCTCGAAACACTAATTTCTTTACAAAAACAACGACAATGCACATGCGTCACATCGACCTCGTAAAAGAAGAACTCTTCTACAGATGTCACTGCGAAGCAATAATTTATCTGGTCATGGTAACCATGATATAGTATTGATGCAAATTTTAATTTATTTGCACTTATATAAAGGTTTTTATATGAAAAGTAATTTCTTCAGTAATAAAACACTATTTTTTCATGTTGATACTTGATATGAATTTTTTAATTCACTTGGGGAAAACTAAGCCAGGACTTGCTAGAAAAGCCTTATGGAAGCTTTATTACCATAGGTTAATAAATTACTTCTCATATACAAATCAATTATATTGTATAAATACAAAGAATATCAAAATTGAGGAAAATTGTCTTTATCCTAAACGTCGACTATTATTATCCACGATAAATACACTTCTTTGAGATTAATTGACCATGGGTAAATACCAGGATTATAAAACACTGTTATATCTGTTGAAATCACATTCAGTTTGGATATAGAGGGCGATATGATTTTACAATTACAGGTAAATCTGGTAGTTTTTCCTTTGATCCATTTTCAACAGCAACTATTAATTTCTACACAATATTACGGCGAGCGTTGTGATATATTAAGCTTATATGCTTAATTAGTGTTTTCTAACGATATCAAAATCTAACGAATCAACTATGAGAAATATGATAGTAGCTTATAACGAACGTCAAAAGGGACTACAAGTGCACTTGCCCATTATGTTTCGTAGTTGGTTCCTGTAATTTTCTCGTGAAAAACAAGAATATATTTTTTCTTCGATTCTCCATACGGTATTAAAAAACATTATCTCGTTCTTTACAACGGTTCTGGCAGTGAGTGGCTCTTACACAGAGTACCTTACTTAACGCGAATCATATAAAGGTAACTGTACAATTTTTAAATAATTTTTGATACTAATAAAGGCTCCCTCGCGCTTTGTCGAGTATTCGTGCATCCTCCTCCCATGACTGTGCAAAGTCTGTTTTCATTTATGCTTCGGCAATCGAGAATTAAGTATACCGTTTACAAATTATCGTCTTACGAATAAAATACCATTTTCCCCATGATTATAAACAATTTGCCCTAGGAGATAAAAATATTAAATAAATACCCGGCTATTTGCTCTACATCGTACTTCCTCCTAACTAAACTACGTAATATAGACAGATATTAAATACATTCAACTATGCACTAAAAATATCTTGGATAACCTCTCAGTAAAAAAAACAAGTGTCTACCAAGAGTCGACACCCATTCGCAATCCTTTATTCTATGCTTTCGTAAAAGCTCTCGTCGTTGTCGATATCAGATTTCACCTTAACTGACTAGCAGACACAATCATCAAAGTGTTTTTACACCTTGCCCCTTGTAATTTTATCTTCATTTAAACATTTAGTAAACCGTTTCGTTATGCATATCTGGAACGAAATCTTTCAGATAGAGTTACGCCTAACAGGATTCCATGTCGAGAGTAGCCACGCGGTAGTTCGGGATAGATGACCTTGAGCGATCGATTTAATGTACTCGCACTATTCGCGCGCGTTATTCAAAAGTTCTCAGCGGATCAAGTTCATTTGAAATGTTTTCACAGTGAAACAAACGGAATGTGGTATCGTTTATGGTTCGATTATGGGATTTATCGTTGCAGGTGTAATTGGCGTTTCGTGGGATGTGTCGTTCAGCACTAACGTCGTCGTGGGTTCTTCTCGTAAATTCTGATCGGCTCCCTTGCCACCTGGGGGAATGTACGTCCACCACGCCAGGAAGAAGAAGAGGAGGGAAGCTGCCTTGCCGATGAAAGCCAGCGCGAGCATGTACCTGAAGAAAAAGGTACTATTAGTTACAATATTTAAAACCAAAGTACCTGAATATCACTTTGAATATGTGTAGCATATACATATGTATTCGGATATTTAATTTATTTTTTCAGCAAGAAATATTTAGTTTGCAAAGAAAAGGTGTAAATTAATTGTTGTATTCGGTCGTTCAAACCTGCTCATGTATAAATTGTCGTAAACCAGACAAGCGCCCCTGCCTTCGCAGGTCTCGTTCCATAAAATGCAGGTGTCGTCTATAAGAGCGCCAAACACCATTGGCGCAGGTATGGTGCCTAGGATCCTCACTTTGATCCACTGTATGCCCAAAGCGAACGATCTCTGGTCGTCCCGAACCACACGAAGCGTTGCGGACAACGCAGGCATAGTGCAAAGGAACGTTATGAACATGTTGCAGAAAGCTAGGGCGATGAACAGCCACAAATAGGAGCAAGCTGTGCTGCAGGTCGTGTTGATGGCCTCGTAGCTGATTATGTTGTCTCCCGAAGTCATATTCATAGGCGGCGCTCGTATGCAGGTGCACTCAGAGTATACCTGCAAATTAAGGATGTAGACAAATTAGAGCTGTGGTGGCTGAATAATAGAGACACGAGTTATATGGTATTAGTTTTTGTTACAGGAGATGCTCTTGTACCCCTTCATTCTCACATATGAGAACTCTGCACTCTGTTTAAACAAACGCATTCACCTTAAGGAACATTCGACCCAATCATATAAACATTCACTCAACGCTGTCGCGCACCTCGATTCATTCGTCCAGACGTACCATTTAAAACTTAATATAAGCCAGAGACGTGGCATCAGCTCGTCGTCAGTGCCGCCACACGAGCTAGTTTTAATTTATTTAAAATATCTATAGGAATTTTGTAATTTTGAACAACCTATCAAGAATTAAGAATGGAAGAATCCATTAACGAATCAATTCATTATTTAATCAATACGCTAGTTAGTTTCAAAGATTTGTTTCCATTATAATCTCAGTCTGGACGTTAAATATGCACTTGCTGATTTTTAGTTCATATTCTATGCAGGCTTTCATAAAGTTATCAGCTGCACTTTGCCTATGATAAATGAGTGGATTGTTCCAAGGAACAGAGTATGAGTTTGTCTATGCACGTGTCGAATAAGAGTGGAAATTGTACTGACTTCGACATCGTTTATTTGCATTTCTTGATAACATCCAGCGTGACAGGGAGAATAGTACGTGATTCCATCGACTCCGCATATTGGATTAAACTCCGATCTCGAGCACCCGCAGCCATTGTTGCACGCGTCGTCCAACGAGAAAGATTTTCTAAAAACAAACAACTCGTCCGTTAGATAGGGTACTCCTGGATGAAATATAGATTCTCAATTAAATAAATTATTTCGCGAAGCACTTTGCGCGGCTATTTATCGTGTAAAATTATTATTAAAAACGTAGCCAGAAGCGACGTACTTAGTTTGATCCGAATAGGGCACCGTGACACCAGCGAAGTTCAAATTCGGACAGTTCAGAACGAAGCACAAAGTGAAGGCGATGCAGGAGGCGGTGGCCAAAAGGCAAAACTTCAAAATGCCGGAGCAAGGCAAATTGAATCGTTTTATGAGATAACCGCCGAGAAACGTACCACCGCCGCCAGCGGGAACCGTTACCAGACCTGAAAACGAAAAAGTTTCGTGACCAGTCGCCAGCGCATTTTTGCCGGTTTCCAAACTTTCGCGAGATTACGACTGAATATTAGTCGGGCGCAAATACTCCACGAGTGAAACGCGAAACAAAAAATTACTGGAAATGATTTGCGCGGACATGCGTTAAAAAAAAGATTCATAAGATAATATTTGGAAGGAATGTCTTGGGTGCATGCATAAAAGCATTTTCTTAGGTGTTTATACTTTCACTAGGTATTATCATTCTCCGTTGCACGTTTTATAGTCGTCATCCAGCAAATATACCTATTTATAGAACTCTTCGTGCTTGAAATTTTTACCCGAATAGGGAAGAGAAGCTCTCGAAAAAAAAACGCGAGGTAGAAAAAGGAAAATTCGGGGGATATTTCGAATGTCGAGAAACAAAATATCCACGGATAAAAAATGCGATCGCTGGTAGCGAGGTAACGTATTGTTTCGTCGATATTTCTCGATAAAACGAGGAAAAAAGGCGTTTCGGTTTCCGAGGGGTGAAAAAAAATGCCGGCGATTACGCGCACCGGAGGAGGCGCCGGATTTGATTGATCGTAACAGAGCGTTTCAATATTATTCACCCATTAGTAACGCGGCCGAGCTAGCGCTGACGTTGAATTGATTTTCGATCAGCTTCGGCAGGAACGCCGCGAATCCAGCGATAAGCAATCCTTCACTGGCACCTGCCAAATTCAACATGAAAAAGCCTGGGTTAGCGAGTAGATCGCTTAGGGCACGCGGTAACTCGCGTATTTTCGAAAATGCCTCCCCCGTCTCGCTCGAGGCAGATTGCTTCGGTTTCTCGTGGGCCTCCGACACCCTCTCCTTGGCCAGCTCCTCGGAACCTAGAGGAAAAGCGCTGTTAACGATGCGGGGGACACAAACAAAATTCATTTAGGTTGAATAGTCGCGAATCAAGTGATAATTCAATTTAATGCAATAATAGTGCAATAACGTGATACTAAATTGAATAATACGTGAAATAATTGTATATTATTGATATATTGTATATAAGAAACTGCATATAGAAGTTTGATGGTACGTTTAGTGTTAAAGTCTTCCTTCAGAGTTCACTCCAAAGCAACGAGTGCAAGATCAAACTTTTTTCAGAAGGAAAAGTCGTTTGTTTTATGGTAACAAATATAAAAACATCATCGAATACCAGGCAACGCTGCTGGGAACGCCAGGATCGGTATGGCGATTATGAAACTCATCACTGCGGCTGCTAGGAATCCTATCCACCATGCTCCCACCCAAACGTTGCTGTCTGGTGTCAAACCAATCCTGAAATTTATTAATTCCATTTCCTTTCATTCTTATTTTTTTTTTTTGTTTTACAGTATACTTAAATCTATAAAGTACTCGAATCGATGAAAAATGTAGGATTGTCTACTCCTTTCTACCACATTTTATCGAGCAACAGATATTAAATGGAGGTTGAAAAACTGGGACGTACAGCGCGCGTAAACAAAATAGCGGCGGAGGAATTTAAACAAAAAAAACGCAATTATTCCGAAACAGTAGCGGCGTGACGAGCAAATCGAAGCCTTCGTTTCCCGGGAACTTCCTGTGCAACTGGGCGATTTCCTCCCGCTCGTATTTTCCTTTTTTTAATTGCGCCCGCTGCAAAATCCGTCGAAGCTCGAGCAACTTTTCCGACTAATTTCCCTCTCGCTGTACACCGGAAAGCCCCCTTTTACACGGGTTCCACGCCGATATGTAACCACCGCCTCGACGATGGCGTCCTCGACGAAAGAAGCGTTTTAAGCGTCCGATATACTCTGGCGTTTTTTTATGATAGTAAGGCAAGAATGAAAATAAATCTGGACAGCATTCCCGAAATTTTGCGACGTTAACAAACTAAATATTACGACAATTGTTGAATTATCTAATCTTCAATAGTCTCGAGGAAAATTTTAACTTTGTAGAAATTTTCACGAGTTCTGTTGAATTATATACATATACATTTGCGTTAAGCAAAAATGAATCTAGCGTTGAGAGGCACTGCCCTTTTTCTGTCTGTTAAAGTATCGGACTGGCACCACCAGATCTGAGGATCCTTGACTGTTTGTCGTCGAAGGCCAGGGCAATAAACAGAGCGCAAGCAGAATTTTCTTTTCTTTAAGTGGACGTTAGAATTTTTCTTTCGCGTAGGTCTGAGCTTTTAGTTAGTTCTCGTTCGTTCTCCAAACGGCCAACACGTCCTTCCAAGCCGTTGAATAAAGTAGACGTTCAAAATAAAATAAAAAGACTGTTATTAATTCCACCCATTTCCAATAAGTTCTTTGGCAGCTAACGTGTTAAGTGCAACAGCCTAGTACCTCCTGAGTAACAGCGATGATTTTAGCATTTTTCAAAATACCGATTCCAGGCCGCTGCCACCCCCCCCCCCTCCTTTAATTGCTCTAAATATTATCCTTTTTATCCACAGTGTAACGTTCCCCTGTGGTGATAATGCAGCGGTTGGGAACTCTGGCAATATTCCTACGGGGCAACAACGTCACGAAGACGACGACGACGAGGACCTCGGGTTGGAAACTCGAAAGTGGGAACGCGGAAAAGCGAGAAAAGCACTTTGGGGCCGAGGTAGGTGGCTCGCAGAGGGGTTGGTGTTGGTACCATCTGCCGCCGACTCCTCCGCGAAACTTTTCATTTGCCTGCGAAATTAAACGCGCCACATATACGGCGACCTACTCAGACGCGCGCGCAACCCCTGAGAGTAGCCGCGACGCGAACGGTTGCGGGGAAATGTAATTGCGCCCCAGGGGTACGTTATTGGTCTCCACCGAGTGGTCCGTCTTTCGCTACTTACCGCAAGAGATGGACGGAATTTTATTATAACAGTAGGCAACGAATAGTAATCGTCGAAGGTCAAAGGGTACTCCGATCTCTCGAGAGACAACTATCAGGGTGTTAAGAAAAGAATCTGTCACTCGATGACAATGGTTACTTTTCAAGCTCATGTCAGTATTCGTACCTTCTACGTTTATTGACAAGAACATCGTCTAAATTAAATGATAGGCTTGATATTTTCAAATAAATGCTTCATTATGTATACAGTAGACTTTACATTTTTATACATTCGCAATAAAAAATTCATTTGGAAACAGTAGACCTATCGTTTTAATTAGACAAATTTCGTTAATAGACCTAGATGGGACTGACTGTATGCATTCATAGCATTTTTGTAGGAATTCTTGGACACAAGGGTTGTGGAAGGAATAGTTTTATTACTTTAATTTGAAGAACATACCAAATTGCTTCTATTATTCTCTAAAAATCTCTATACGCAAGCTGCCAACAGACTCCATTTTTCTTTTCTTCTATTCGGCTGTCGTTTGTTCCACAGATCTGTGTCAAAAAAGCTCCCAGGGAGTTCGATCCCTTTTGCACAGATCGCTAATAGATGGCAACTCATATTTGAATGCCCAAACTCGGCTCTTTCCTCACAATTTTATTACATTTTATTTATTTTCATATGTATTCATTTCACAAAAGTGTAATATGTATTCAATAATATAAGAACTATTACTTTTGCATACTTTGTGCCAACGTCTGCATAACGTTTGAACACCACACCTAAAGAAGTTTGATTTTCGTCCAGTAACTAGTGCATAGACTGCAACTTGAATATCTTCTTTCAAGACGAACCACTTTTCCCTGCATATAATGATCCAAACAGAGTTTAACAGAGTTATTACAATAAAAGATGAGCTCTTATTTCATTTTGTATGTTCTATCACAAATATAACGAACTATTACATTTAATAAAATATTACACATAGCCTTATAAAATTAGAAAAAATTCTACATAATTCAACATCCATGAATACATATATCTCGTAATTACATTAATACATGTTTACCAAGTATACGATAACCGCCATCATTTTCTTACCCACCCGATAGACGAAAAACGGATAAGACAGCGCCCCCTTAAATCTCCTAATGGTTTTATAATCTCATCTTAGAGGCTAATTTCAAATTTAGCATCTCTAGCAGGTGCACACCGCGTCTCACGCTCGGTTTATCAGATATGACGCGCGAGGACGTTTTATCGATCCGCAAAGTATATATTCTTAATAGAGGTTTTGCGTAACTAGCTTTTTTCTCCGTGAACGATACGTTTGCACGAGGCAGTGGGCGTAGCGAATTTCTTCGCGGCAAAGAACTCAACCAGGAGGTGATTGATTGCCCCGAAAACGGCTGAGTAACCGCGCGATCATCCCTTAGCGGACTTAACTGCAATCGGTATACAAAGGATCATCCTTCGGGCTTCTTTTTCTTCTACTTTTTATTACTACCCCTGTCACAACCGATCTTTAAGTGAAACACAGCCTGCAGAATTTGTATCGATTCGATATTCGTAGAAACCGCGGAGCAGGTTCGAGAAATCCTTCGATCAATGCTTCTCAAAGATCACGGGGCGCAATGCTGTAACTTTAGGGAGAGTACAGACTTTTTACGCGTTGTTAAACATGTATTTAAAGAAAGAGTAGATGAAGATGGTCGAAAACGTCGATTAAATGCTTGAAAAGATTCCACTCTAAGTGTCGCTGAAAGCTAATCTGATGTTTCTAAACGAATAACGCGGTGTTTTTCGAACTTTTCCCAGAGAAAGTCTAAATTCTCTGCCCGTTCGAATCTTCGGCAACCGAGCCGCGGTTGAGCGTGAAATGCGAAGGGAGGTCCTTTCGACTTTTAATTTCAGTCTCCTTCGAACCACTTCTTGCTCCTCCGACGCTTCACGATTTTTTTTCTTGCACCTTTTGTCTTTTCCGATGTAGGCTGTTACCATAATAATTTCTTCGCTTCTCGAGCCTTAAACGAGACAGTGCCTGATTTATTAATCGCGGAAAAAGGACGAGCGCTCGGGCTGGAAATCATTATCCCGGAGGATTCGAAGCTTCGAACGTTTCAGGGACACTGAACGAGGAGGGTGAACGTTTCGTCGATTCCCCTGGGTTACGCGAAACTTGGCGCAAATTTATAATTAAATGTACATGGAATAGACTAGCTTGTATGTATAGAAATTAAAAAATGCAAACAAATCAATTATTTTAAACTTCAACATTTTCCAACTTTGACAATCTTCGAATGTTTGTTATTTAATTTGGTGGGCGTCGAGCCACAAGACGTCGAGCGACGTCAAGCAACAAGGATATTGTAAAAACACATTTTTCACAATCAAAAATATGATCACAATCATATTTTTCGACACAGAACAAAATAGTATCCTCTTGAAGATAGAGCGTCAGAGTTCTGTTAGGAACAATTATGCATTCTACGCTTTTTCAAAAGAGTCTCCCCTCTATTATTTCTGTATCATAGATTGATATTCTTCGAGCTTGGAAAGATTACCGAAAACTACAAACGATTCTATCCAAAAAGCGTCTTTCGCATTCATCTACGCTCGCTGCACAAAAGACAGACGTACAAAGCACGCAATATAAACAACTAGAGCAAACATACGACTAGTGGTTGTCGACCGTACGGTGCTTGGAATCGATACTCGGCCATTTTAAAGGAGGAACGTGTGCTCGAAATACTTTACACAGCCGACAGATCGATTTACCGTGAATGTGCACCCGATATACATCTTCACGCTCGCAATAAAAAAAAAAAAAAAAAAAAAAAAGGGAGAAGAGGGATGGATAGTCGGCACGGCCAACGATTAATTCGATTCTCACGTGCATCGTAGCGGAGTGACTCAACGAAAGGGGGGTGGGTCCCTCCACGGAGAAGAAGGGGGAGGGGGGACGAGTAGACAAATGGAACTTGATTGTCCTCTAAGTGTCGGGGGATGAAGTGACAGTTTTGAAGGGTAACATCGGCGTCGTCGTCAAACATTGGTTCACCGCTTGACATTTTCCACGCGGGGTACGCGTACACCGCATCCACGAGGTTGCATGCACTATTAATCCCGGCCCATTATACGCTCCAATGGCCCCTCGGGATATTTTCAACGGGCGGACTACGTGTCGAAGACGTGGACAAGAAGATTTTCTAAAACGTTCGGTCGAACTTCCTTTGGGAAGACGCGTGGGAATTTAATGCGGGCATTGGGCATCGGATGTTAATAGCGATTACGATGGGAGCTTCAGGCGCTTTTCAAGTGGGCACGTACGGGGGGCCATTGAATGGAACGGACGTGTCACCATCCCTGACACGGAGATACAATAATTTTTAGTTTGGAATGATTCGAAATGTATTATTTTTTATTTTATTTCATTAGTAAGATACAAATGGCTTTGTACTATTGGTGGTCCATAAACCCTTGTACCATATTTACATATACGTGTACATGAACATTTAATATATTATATTAATGATATATTAAGACACAAGGGATGAAAAATGGATATGGAAACGATTATCACTTACAAAATTTGCTTATCTATATCACTGCACCATGAATGTGCAACAATATAACGAAATAATTAGTGCAGAATGTATAAAAATCTTGGTTCCCCCGTTCTTGTATTACGTTAGAATTGTTGGATACTCCAACGCCCAGGTCCACTTTCTTTTTTTCAGAATCGCGCGTGAGTAAATTAAAAACAACCGTGTTAGGTACGGTCTTTGAGGACCCGAGTTTTTTCCGAACGTTCTCGTCAATGGCCCTATCCTCCTTAGATTTTCAGAGCCGAAAGTTAGTCCTGAGATTTCGAGCAGTTAATTACAAAACTCTGTACATCGTCAATAAACCTTACGATTACAACAAGCTCGTGAATTCGTTATACGGGGTCGTATCAGAACATTTCAAACATTTATGCCTTCCACTTGATTTGTGATATCATCTAGACTGTTATACCTTCTTAAGAGCTCAGTCCCTCACATAGGTTGTTGTTTCTGAAAGGGTTAAGGTCAACTCGAATGGATGTTCACCCAACAACGAGGCACAAGTAGACGGTCAACGCCACAAAAGCTCTCGCATTCATTACCGCGTTTCTCGGCGCGAGGAGTTCATAGTCGTCGAATGCCGATGGGGAATGACGCGTAATGGACGCGTCGACGGAATTTGTCGCCCCTCGTTGCCACCGTTAAACGTGTTTCCCGCTTTTTTTCCGGGGGGTGGCGGTAGGTGGTGACCGTTTAGCGGCGCGTCACGGTGACTTTATTAAATTCTCGCCAGGATTTATCGGCTGTTTGCACCAGTCCTGTTCGACAATACGCGTCCAACGTATGCGAACACGGTGAACAGGTACGCGGAAACGCGTGCGCCCCGACGGAATAACCGACATCCGGTGGTACGCAAATACGAGCATCCACATTGGCCGCCTTGCCCCGAGCATTCCGGCTGCGAGTTTTAGCTTCCTGTCAAACACTGTCAGGGGGCGAAATTTAATCGAAGTAACGATCGATCGTTGCCACTGAAATTGACCGTCGTTAATCGGTTGAATTGGTCATCTCTCCGATGATACTTGGAAAAATGAGACAATTTTCAATTTTCTTCTTGAACAGAGATTTTTAAAGACTCGCAGTGCTGTTGTATGTTGATACTTGTGGATACATACACAGTTTAATCCCTCGATCTATGATTTATTTTTAAAGAAGATATTTTATATGCAGGGAATGCTAAAACGTTTTAGCTGTTAACGAACGTATTTATATAAATGCGGACTATCTAATTATAATAATAATAAATAAAAGAGAAAATCTGAACCTGAAGATTGACGCTTTAAACTAGAACACTGCCTCAAAGAAATAATAAACTATCAAACTTACTTCTGCATAGAACCCGCACAAAATAATCCTTCGAAGAAAGAATAGACCTACACTATTGGCAATGGGGTATAAGTGAATAATAAAATACTGTGTTTATAGATTAACTTTAGCTTTATTCACTAAATTGTCACGAGCAAACTGTGATCTTTACTCAACGAGGAGCTGCACGAGACTACGCGATGAACGTTAAAAGAAAAACCGTAGAAAGAATTTCTAGCTGTATACAGCGTAGTTTTACCACATCTGTTTAATTTTTAGTAATCTACAAGAAGGGTTTTCTCAGGGTCTTGAGATAGGCCATATCCTAAACGAAAACTATCTCTCTCGTTATTCTCCAGTGACAGATATAACGTTGTGCATTTATTCACAGTACATTTATTTTTGTAGTAAAATGACATGTTGCTGTTTAGTAAATATTCCAACAACATCCAACAAAACGCATTTCGCAAGTGGAATATGTCACGACTGACCCAGTACGAGTGGCAATTCCTCGCGAGAGCGATCTTTCCCTGTCCGCGCAGTACACCCGGAGGTTTATTGGAGGTTTCCCCGTCGGTATGTTCCGCCATCCGTTTCAGCTGACACCTATTTCGCGAGAAAGACGGTCGAGCAAACCTCTGGTAAACCTGCGGCGTATGCACGGGCCGTTTTGCGCGTAAATCTACGCTCGCGCGGGATCCCCGGAATTAATCGCGAAGCTAGGCGCGCGAGTAGAGCCCTGTGAAAAATGTCTGGATGAAAATTTCCACGGCGCGACGCCTGGCTGGCTCGCAGATACAGGATTTTCATGCCTCGTCGGGATCTTCTTTTAAACGCTTTACGAGCGACGCCGCGGCGTGATCGAGTTAACGCCGGAGACGGGACGCTCGCCGTATCGGATTTTTACAATCTATTTTTGCTATTTCACGGCCTTGAGAGGAAGCCTCGCGGAGGGAAAAAGTTGTCGGGCGACGGGAAAAAGAGTTGTTTGGATGTCGCGACACCGTTTGCGATACTTAATTATCCACTTCTTCTACCCCCGAAACGATAATGAGCAAACTGACGCCAGTGTTCCCCTTTTCGTCTCTGTTTAGTATACTGATTGGTCTCGGGCAACGAATATAATCTTTGGGCGAGGGAATTTTTCGGGGACGTTGGTTAATCGAGAATTAAATCATTTTTTTAATTACCGGAGGGATCGTTAGTGAGGTAGTGATTACTAATTTAGACACTTTCGCAGAGCATGCGATTAATACTATCTTAGGTATGAAAAAATGTTGATGGAAACTCACTCTGACGCGTCCACAGTGATGAAATCCGTGTAGAGCTTCAACAATTCACCTCCCACTACGTAGCCCAGCGCTGGACCTATGATGGCCATCGTGTAAAAAATTCCTGGATAGAAAGAATGCGTACGGTTTTTTTAAATCTGTTCCAAAGAGAGCCACAGTGGAAGAATATTTCCAGAATAATTTGTTATAAATGTGCAAAACTCTCAGGTTACACATCTATCATATACATTTTTGATCACTGATTTAATTCTACTAAAATTAAAATTTTTCTTTGAATTTGTACACCATTGTTTACGTTTATCAATGGTTCTATTCTAGAATGTTGTTGGACACCGAATAGAAAACAGCCAGATCGAAAGGGTTAATGTCTGGTTAATTGAAAATTCTTTGGTCGATGCAACGATAATCATTTCCTCGCAGTGAGGCGTATACGAAGACCGATAGTGGACCATTTCTTACCTACGTACACGGACGACATCTTTTTCGACACGTTCTCGTCGAGGTACGTAACTCCCAGCGTGTAAAAAGGAGCGGATCCCGCGCCGTGCAGGAGTTGAGCCACGAGAAAGATAGTTAAGTACAACCCACTGTAAGGCTCCTGGTCTCCTTGCCCGGCGGACCCGTTGCAGGCGAGCTGAATGCCGGAAACACACAAGCAAATTGAGAGTAATTTAATTAGCGGGATAGAACACTCCAAAAATACCTGAAACGCGTCTGCACGACCGACTTTCACGTTTAATACACGACAACCGTTCTAATTAAGAAGAAGCGCGCAAGTAACTCGAAAAGCGAGAGTAATTGTAACCTTTCTCAATTACTCGACGGCGTGGCCACGCAAGTTTTTGAATCTGAAGGAATTAACGGGGACTGAATTTTTCTGATTGGTTTGGAGTTAACCAATTATTCGACGCAATTCAAAGATACAAAAAAAAAAAAAAAATTAAATTAACTGTGTAATGATATTCACACTAACCAACTGGAACTAGTATTGCAATCATTGTTATTGTTTTTATTTAAATATAAAAATTCAAGCCCATCCTATTTTTGGGACATTGTCGGATAATGGGTTTTAAAGTAACGGTTGAAGGTACTTGTTATTTTTGAAGAAGATTGCTGTAAGAAAGACTAAGGATGATTAAGGATAATCAATTTGGAGAGTGATGTCCACTTACGGATCGAGTCGACGCGTTCGTCACCCTCTGGCATATGTTCTCCGACTGTTGACCGCCTCTATAAGGTCCAGCAATGTAATGCGGGGACGCGAACAGCAGGCTTCCTATACCTAAGACTAGAACTCCTATACCTATGTACCTGTGCAAGAAAGCTTCGTTGCTCATTCAATTTGAATGAAAAAATAGAGTTTTTCGTAAGGACAAATTATTCATGAATCTTTCATAAGGAATTTTCACTAATTTATCTAAGAGAATTTATAGATCACGTATAGATTCATAAACGACATTCGAACTGTTCGTTGGTAAAACAAAAAGTTGAGAATAATGTACATTGTTTTTAAAATTTCTTTTCTAATATAAATTCAAATAAATATCGTAGAATGCATAAATACAGATGTAGCTTTCATCCAACGGTATATAAAATTAATAAGAATGAATAGCCAAAGAATAATCGTCAGTAATGTTACAATTTTTATGTGACTGGTGAAGTTAATCGATTCGTGCAGTGAACGGCTCATTTTGCGCGTGCCTTACCTTGGTTTCGATGCTTTTGAGCGTCCACCGAGGTAGCTCACTGGAACAAGTAGAAGGAAACTGGCTATGTCGTATCCACCCGCTATTAGACCGGTCTGCGACGACCTCAAACCGAATCTCCTCTCTATCGTGGTGATAACGACGTTTACGAAACCGTTCACTACCATTCCTGGAAGAATCATTACTCGTTACAAGTCGCTATATGTTTCCATTTGTCTTCTACTGCTCGAATAAAATTTTTTCATCCCTGCATTCGATAGTTATCTTGCTTTTTAAACGAACAGTTTAGAAAAACGTTTGATCGATAACAGAGCTCGAATTTCCCAAATAATATCTCGTCTTCGGATGCAAACATGGTCGATTCAGAATAATCCAAAGGCAGCCGCCTGTGTTCGCCAAAGCAAATCCGCGTACTGCGTGTAAATGAATCAGAAGGGTAAACTAATTCAATTACGGCTCCTCTCCTGCGAGCAGTGTCTGCTCACCCTCGAAGGAATCGTAGGGGAGAACGTAAATCTATTAAACACTTCTTTCTCACGAATGTATATATGCATATATGCACACGCTAATCGCTTCTGAATCGAACGACAACGTCCGTCCCGTTCGTCGGCGCAACAAACAACCGTCAACGCCAGAAAGAAATGATCTAACAATCAAAATATTAATAAAGAATCAACCATTTCAAAATGACGTAACTTCACTTTTTTCAAAATATTAGCTTGTCCCATAAGTTCGTGCTGAAGACTGTGTCGAAATTTAATAAAAAAAAAACCACAGAAATTTTCTAGAAACGGTATAATGACTATGTGAGAGAGGCGAGAAACTATTGTGAAATAACACAGATTATCTTTTCTTGTGACACTTAAGAGTATGTTTCACATATTAATTTGAGAAATAGAAGTATAAATGGCACGAACTTTTAGGACGACCTAATACTATACTTTAGTTACTATACTTTAATAATCAAGAAGGTTGTTTTCATTTAAAAATGACGTAAGTAAAATCGTCTGACTCTTGGACTAGTACACACGTCTCTCGACTATAATCTAGCCATGAGCATACCGCGTTACCCTCCGATACAATCAAACATGATTCTTCTATAAACGATGAAATTCCAGAAGAACCATCATCTCTCCCCAGCAGGCCAGTTAACCAATTCCCATCGAATCGACGCGTTCGCAGCGACAGAAGGAGACTGTTAAATCTCGCTGTATCCGGTGGCTGTCTACGCGGTAAATTAACCACCTTCGTTTCCCATTGTACTGCTAATAGGAGAATTTTAATTAAAGCCGTGGACCGCTGTGCTCGTCGCGGACAATTCGTTTCTCCAGCTGCCGGGGTGGCCAGCCCTGCCTTTGCTTTCCACACGAGCATCTCCGCGACACGCACGCACTCGTATATTATCGGCCACCGTACGCGTACTTACGCGGAGCCAACTTATTCTCAACTTGTACAGACGATTGCCAGCTCCATTGTCCGGCAATTTGTTCACTCCCATTGGCTGCGGAGAAGGCACGGACCTCCGCAGGACCATTTCTTTTGTTGTTCCCCGGCGTTACAGAACGGGGAACGAACTTGCTCGAGCTACGTGTTCCCTACGTCCCTTTTCTTCTGGGGTACAACTCGCGAGCGTTCCTCCCTTGAAGAAGTCCCTGCGCGCTGGGACCTCGTCGATCGGTTTCCATTTGTGATTCTTTTTTGAAATATTATATTTAGACTGCGGATATTTATGCAAATTAATATTTTCTCAGATACAGAAATTGAAATTTGAAGGAAAGTATGCTTCGTCTACTAAACGGTATAGAATGTATTGGATTGTCTGGAAAGTCCATGTCGATTTTTGGTAGGTGGTACAGGTCTGAATATATCGGAATGATTGAGAACAAGTAACATGTACACGTCTCTTAAAAGGCGGAAAGGTTGTGGAATAAAATGGTACCTATGCAATTCAATAAATGTATTTTAAAATTGAAATGTACCTTTGAATTGTTCTTAAAAATTGGCATAAACTTTCTGGGCAACTTAATATATTATAGTTTACATTTTTGTCAACTTCTCATAGATTTCCCCATATTTCCTTTTGATATAAATGCATACACATCCTAATGATTACTATACATGCGATATAATTAGTAATAATAAAGTAGTAAAAAATGGAAGTAGGTCAAATGTCTTTTTAAGCTTTTAAGCGGCAGCGAAGCCCTACCAGATGCAAGAAGATTCAATTCGATTGGTCACATCGTTTCGGAATAGGAAGCGATACAAAATTTTTCAGTTTTTTCCAAAAAAACGGGTAAAAAGTGAAAAATTCCAAAATTTTTGGATAATGGTACCACCTCCGAGACATGCTCTACAAGATGCAAGAGGTTTCATCCCGATTGGTCAAGCCGTGTGGGCGTAATCGAGTAACATACATAAAGAAAAAAAATATACATGTCGAATTGAGCAACCTCCTTCTTTTCGAAGTCTGTTAAAAATGTGAGATGTTCACCTGTAAGTCTGTTACTATCACAAATTCTATTGTCACTATCTCTATAAAGGAGATGTATCGAGAGATACATACACAGATGTGTTGTCTTCGAATGACATGAACCAGATATTTATCTATATAGAAAAGAGGTCAATTGTTGCTATCGAAAGCTAGTTTCATCATCGATAATGTCCCACGATCTTACTTCTAATAATCAGCACCAATTCTGAACACAGACGTTCGATCGATCAAGAGGAAGATTTCTGAAGAACGAAGAGAACCGATCACTTCTCTTGTTCTCTTCTCTCGTTAAGGGATAAACAAACATGCTTAAACTATAAGCACCCGTTCCCCTCTATTCTTTCTTCCATCCCCTGTTGCACCCTTTCGACCTTCGTGCCTGCGCCCTTCGTCGATCGGTTTCCTTTCGACGTCCGTTACCCTCCAACGTGCATCAACCTCCTGCTACTGGCTCCGGAAAACTCGATTTCCGGTTATCGTCGGTCACCCCGTCCCTCCCTCTGTCACTCACCCTTTACCCACCCTCCCCTGCGCGCCCCATCTGAAAGCTTCGAAATTGCATTTGAACGCGCGGCTATTAGTAACGCCAAACGGCGATATCGAGTCGATTATGGCGGAAAGTCAACGTTGGATTCATTCTGGACGCGGGCGTGAACGTTGTTTACATTGCTGACGGGCTGCGTTACGAGATCCGTGATCGACGTGTTCGCGATCCGGCATTTAGGAAGCCGGCAGGGAGGCGCGACGGACGGGTTTCATCAAAGTTCGATTAAAATTTGGATTAACTGACGGGGACGATTGCGTTGCGATACTGTATAACAGGTCACGTTCATGTCATCACACTCTATGTCTTTTAAAGAAATTAAAGAAACATAAAATTTCCGCATTCTTTCCGCATTCTTTTAAAGAAACATAAAGGGTACGAATCCGACTGTGTTCTGTGATTTATAAATTTCTTCCCTGATTTTTTTGAAAAATGTTATGGAGTAAACGAGCAACGTTTAATCGTACCTTGAATTGCACCTGTCCAGCATAGCCAGAAGAGTGCCCACTTCGCCGTTCGAAATCGTTGAAGGTACATGGGCCTGAACCAAAACCAGCCGCACTTCAGGTTATCCGTCGTCCTGTCAGATTCCTTTGGCACTTCCGTCTTTATTTCCGGTTTCCTCGGTCCGTCCCCGAACTGTTCCGGAAAACTAGACAGGGTTTCGTGCATGTCCGGCACCCCCGACTGTAAATCACACTATTCAGATGATACTGTCCATATCGAATTACGTAAATTAACCGAGGGTCGTTACAGTAATAACTAGACTGGGGCGTTCATCAATTCGTGGCATCTGTTGATAGGAAAAACGCTTTCTAAGCGTGGCATTCGAATTGCAAATATACAGAGTGTAGATAAACTATCGACTTTATTCACGATAAACTTCTGAACTCCCCGCTTAGGTTGATAGTATGTGTCACGAGATGAAGGTCTCAACGGGAAGTCATAAATCTAACAAAGAACTCGAAGTGTCGAGAAGATCGTCAAATGCCACCTACGAACAAACATCGGCATTTGCCATATTTTATTCCTAATGCAACGATTCCATCCTGCCGAGAATATTCTCAGTGCTCCGTTAAAATTAATTATCTCAAGCTAAAACCGATACAGGCCATTCGTAACCCATTACTTACGGCCCGACACAGGAGCTACAAAATTTAACCGCGGTCACGTAAATCTATTTTCATTCGAATTCGTATCGATCGACCAACATCCGCCAACTTTTCGTCCGAAAATAATCCTCCACTTACGTTGAATGCAAGTTTGTCCCTCATCTTTCCTTCGTGGACCAAGAAAACCCCAGGAAGCAGCGCAGATAGTTCCCCTGACTTTTCGCGCTATCGCCGGAAGATCAATGGCGTCATCCTCGACACTGTCCTCCCAATCAGCGGCTCGTGGTTGGCTCGCCTTACTCCCGGTTTAATTGGCGAAGGAGCTCCGCGAATTTCCGAGAGCCTCCACGGATAGTTTCGACGATGATCGCGGATCCCTCGAGCGTGTCGCGATTCAGAGGATCCGTTTTCATCGCGAGGCGAAAGCCGCGTCGCGCCACGGGCGGAACTTCCGGCACGCGGTTACGCTCGGTCGTCCTCGAGTGTCTAGAGACGGAAGAGCAGCCAGGTTTTGATCCCGCGGAATGACGACTCTCTGGGAGGCTTTCAGCCTGGATAACGAATATTATTGTCCTCTGGTGAGCGAAGCGATCTTGACTAGATCAAAGATCACGTCGGGTCGTTGGCCGTGGAACGATCTTTCGAGATTTTGGGCAGGTGGAATGGAAGCTTTCGGAGTTAATTTTGCGTGATTGTTGATCCTTTGCATTCCTAAGGCCACTTGTACTGCCCAAACACTTGAAGCCGTTATACTCCTACGGCCAGTGTCACTGCACACAATTTATCATCAAGTTTTGATAAGCGATCGTTCACTAGTGACATGAGACTAAAGACTGTATGGTTTATTCAGATCGTAGTGACAGTGGTAGAAAGAGAACGACTTTTTATTGCGACACATGTGAACCTAAACCAGGTTTACATGTTGGCGACTGCTTTGAGCTATATCACACGAAACAAGTTAAATACTTTAATCAAATTAAAATGTTATAGTAACTTTTGTTTTGGATATCTAAATTCGATTAGTTATAAGATCAATATTCTTAAGCAATAGCGTGTAAGCAAACTTCGTATAAATAATCAATATTTTCCATTAAACTATTATCATTTGTGTATGATTATGCTTGGTTAACAAAAATGTGAAATTCTAAAGAAACTGCAAAGAGTTTTTTGTGTTCATTCCATGACTCGGGAATCTAAGAAAATTGGTATTGAAGTTGACTACCTGCATATAGTCAAATTGCTTGGAATGCAGAGGGTTAATTATTATCGAAGATTGTATTTTGAGCTTGGTTTCTGGGTCGTGGAGGTCCTCCTCGAACAGATTTTTCGACAACTTCTGATTCGTTAGAACACCTGTTCCTTGACGACTCTTTACTAAAGAGTCTTTAGGATGGTTTTACATGGATGAGAATTACCATCGATGCTTTTGCGAAAGTATTTCCTGACAAGTTAGCAATCTAAATGCTTCAACGTATACTGATTTCACTCGATTGCAATTTCCCTCCTGTTTTGAGACATGTCTCGTCCCGTGGCAGTGTTCGGTCCCCGCGTGATTCCCGTCGAACACGCGTCGCGACGTAGGATGCTCTTCGCTGTGTCGACGCGCATCGTATAAATCCTTCGAGCGAGGTATCGTTTTCCGAGCCAACAGCTTGCAGCCACCCAACTTCAACCTCGTATGAAATATTCAACGCGACGCGGGATTTACAATATCACGGGAATTCATAATTCCCGCACACGCTACGCCCCCGCTGGATCGCTTCTATGCTCCCTGATCGATCCCCATCACAATCTAATCCAATGATTCTTAACCAATTAAGAACGGCTACACTGTATCGTCAATGTTTGTTATCTTCCTTGTTCGCGGTTCGGAGAATTTACAGGCAGGCGTGTTTGATTTCGTCGACAGGTTCAATTTATTTCATTGATATGATTGGACTGTGGATTTCATGCATTCGTGGCGGGTATACTAATGTGGAGAATATGCACTAATTATACACGATGTATGTAGGACGTATTCTATTAATTAATTTAGTAATATTTATATTTCGTCTTGCACAATGTGTATATAGCTTCTGGTTAGGTTTAGTTCATATTTCTCACGTGTTCTCGTATTATAAATGCAGAAAATCCGCAGTTTAGATAGGATCATCAACGGTTTCATAGAAGTATGTTTTCTATTTTTGTTTTTTATAGACTATACCTTCTGAATTAAAAGTGATCAATTTTTTATTATTCGATTTTATATCGAGAGTAATGAGTGTCAAAAACTGCGTCGATGATTGAGACACTCACCTTACAAAGATCTATAATAAGACTCGTGTTGCGAGCTTCAAAAGGTTAAGAACCATTGGCCTAATGGCAACACTTCCAAACTGCTCCCAACTACGGGGTTCCAATCTCTGTGCGATCAAACTTCTCCAACCAGGGAAAAGATTCTAAAAAGAACCTGTGGATCACTCGACTTTCTGACTATAACACTCCTCGAACACGACGACCGAGCGTCTCTATATCCTGATTCATTTTACAAGCTACTTCATGATGTTTAGGACGCAAAATTCCAGCAAAAGATAGGAACAAATCACAGCACTCGAACTTCCACTTGCGATGAGCCACAAATGTTTCTTTTTCAATTGAATTCACAGAAGGTTTCACAGAGGTCTCGTGTCGATCGGGGATCGAAAGGATCTGGAGCACGAGATCCAGCTCGCAGCATCGGCGCGCACCGATTACCGCCGCGTGTCACACGCGACTGAGGACCGCGAGCTCGTGCTCTCGGACATTTCCCCGCGAGTTGAAACGCCGTACATGCTACTACCGCCGCTGGTTTGCTACGACAGACATTCTTCGTCCTTCTCCTTCCTTTGCCAGCAGACTCTCCCACCTCTCTTCACCATCTCTCTCTCACGAAGACTTCTGCCTCTGTTACTTCTCGTCCCCTTTCCTCCTTCCTTTGCATCCCCCTTCCACGTCTCCTCCTCCCCTCTCTCTCTCTCTCACTCTGTTCTCAGTCTACCTTTTCCACCCTCTTTGGCAACCCCCAGCCAGCGGCGCACCGTAAACCGCCCTTACTAGCTGTTGCTTCGGGAATCGAAAAAACGGCTCGGTGGTCGTCGATCTGATAAGACTCATTAATTCCCGTTAATCGCGCAGATGCGATTAAACGCCTCCACCAGGGTGTTCTGTGGAAACTGAGGACACCGAAGGCGGTTCCGTGACTCGGTTTAATCGCAGCTGTTACAGCTGCTAAAGGCTCGCAGACAAAATGTCGATTATTTATTTACGAGCGGCTCCGTGACCGAAAAATTAATTAACGTAGAGTTATTCTGGTATATGATTGTGTAAATTTAGTGTAGAATATTCATTTGACACTTGGTTCGCGGAGGTTTGAAGTACTTCAATGCTTTTTTTTTTATTTGACTTTTACTTCCTGAGAACTTTTGGACCACGTTCGTATCTGTCGTCGAAGTAATTTGGATGTATGTTTTTCTCTTTGTATTGGCAAAAGAAAGGATAAGTGACTGGCGCGAAATGTAAACCCTCTACGGGCCGAATTTCTTTTCTGGAAGCAACTTGCAAGACATTTACTTTGATGTTTCAGGGTAATGATTTTTGCCAATGGTCATCAATAATGTTATTCGTCACCAGAGATATCACACATATAATTAAGATGTATATGTCGTCTTGTAAAAGGACTAAAATTGTTTGATAAAATGGTGAATATTAGAGCGTGACCTGAAAATTACAGGGGCTTATAAAGGGTTAATAATTTCTGTAACTTTCACGTTTTTAATTCCTTGAAAATTGTTATTAACTGTGTCGAAGTAGTAAAGAATCCCCGGCTCGACCAGTGATCCATCACTCTCGGTTATCGTTTAAGCAATGGCGTCCACTTTCCTGGAATATCGAAAGCTTACAGTTTCAAGTAACTTTTTCTCCCAGTTTGTATCGAGAAATTCTTGGCAAACTTCGAAAGTCCATTATTTAATTTAACTAAGCAATTAAGAGTTTCAGTTCTCGAAGAGTCTTGTTTCGAAAACTCCCCCTCCCCCCCGCTCGTTAATAAGTTGAAAAATAAGTAATACTAAATAATGACGAATATTAAAATTCTTTTTGAAAATTCTACTTCTATTCGAGGTTCAACGTTTTTTCCAGTTCTTTTAGAAGTGAACTATGCGCACATGTATCACATTTTAAACTAATTTCCGCTGTGAATTTAAATCGACTACAAATCGTGTCGTATATTTTTGTCCAACGAACTACGACGCGAAGCTCGTCGCTTCATTGAATAGAAAATTCGACTTACTAAAATAGACTGCATTGTTCAACGTACCTAAAATAACCTCGAGTAGCACGTACTCAAATGACTCCGTCAATTAATAATGCCTACAATACTTGAGCTGAATTTGAAACCAATACTCATTATGTGAATATCAATATAAACAGCAACGATAGAAATAGTGATTACATCAATTACTTGAAAAAATTACTAATTTATTTATCAAATATCAAAAAAATCGTAACACGTTTCTGAATGGGGAAAATACGATACTTTTCTTAAAGTAGTAGTGCTTCGATCGTTTACAAAAACAGACAGTGGCACGTCCACTGTTTCCAGGTGTAAAGTAAATTGCCTTCCTCGACGAACATGGTCTTTGACCGCGGCGGAACAAGCTATCGCAAACCGAACTAAAGAGATAATGTGCAACTCCCATTCCCAGCGAGCAACGGAAGAACCGATACAGACTCGAAGCTATTTTCCAGCTTCGCCGTGTAACGAGTTTCTTAATGTCTCGTATCGAGAAATGCATTTGTCTTCCGGCGTTCCATTAACGAGCATCGTTGCTTGCTCGAACACCGCCAGTATCCGTACGCGTCGTTTAAAAGCGTGTACGAAGCTGAATAAGCGAAAAGCGAAACACACAGGAAACCGTGCAAAGGCTGGTTCAAGCATGGCCAAAATTTTCATTAAATAGAAATATTCGCAATTTGTCTTCGTGAAAGAGATTTTCAGAGTATTCAGGTCGTGTTCTAATTTTGTAGATAAGCAAAAGGTAATCTTTTTGTAGTTAGAAAGAAGGTATTATTTATCTCATGTGTCGATTGTTTGGTATATAGAGTCACCTTAAATTTAAACCTGTCTTCTTTTGAAGGAAATAATTAAATATGAGTAAAATAGTGCAAGCCATAATTCTTTTTCTATTTTTGCGAAGATCGTCGGATGTTGCGAGTCAGCCTTATCGTTGTTAGAAGCGAGATGCGCGAAAAACATCACGGGAAATGGTGTAGCGAATGAAATATTTCAATACGAGGTAGGTCAGGCCTGGTATCAACCGTGGAGGACGTGTTTCGAATTTATGGCGGTAATAACCTAAGTATGCGGACTCGAAAGGTTCTGAATAAATCATCCTGATAACATTGGCGGTTAGGAGGACCCGCGGAGAAGCTCAATGACGCAACGGGACCAACAGATCGATAGCGAATTCTGAATCTAATGAAGCGTACATTACAAAGAAACTGAAAGGCATTCTACAAAATCCTGGCAAAGCAGTATTCTTCCCTGCAAAAAATAATCAATGCAGAGCAACCGAAGGGAAATCTCAGAATTCAATCTGAATAACGAAACACCTCTGAAACAGAAAAAAATAGCAAGACGCAATCGATTAAAAGTCAACGAAACGACGTTACAAGTTCTATTCCTCTGCGCATTTGGGCCACGTCTTTGCTCCACATTCAATTCGACGCGGCGAGAATCGATAATTCGTATCATCGAGACATTTATTTGCAGATCTCGCCGTTGTTAATGTTTGAGAATTTAGGGGGGGGGGATGAAGGGGGAAGAGGGTGTGATTGCATGGGAAAATGGTTGGCGTCGAAACAGCTCGCTGGGAGGTCTCTGTGGTATAATTACAGGTTAAGAGGGGCATTTATCGGAGAAAAGGTGCGGTACATTTGGAATTCCTTCAAGTGCAACGTGCTTGTACTGCGACGATAACGGGTCCCAGCCAGCGTAATTAAAGTCTTCCTATCTTTAGGGCCACTTCCTCTGGCAGATACACCGAGTCGTTTATACAGCAACGTTTTCTCAAATATCCACTTCCCGAGTTGACGCCCACGCGGCTCTTGTCGCGTTTTTAGAGTAAGATCCCGTCTGGAGATAAAGCAGAGGTTCTAGGGTCAATGAATATACATTCAAGAAGTTATCTCGTGCATTATGGATGGATTTTTTTTGTTCATCTTTTATTAAAATGTTATTTTTCACCCCCTACAGCTTTCGTTCGTCTATGAGAGCTGTGTTAAGGAAGGGACGAATACTGCTGGAAAAATATTTAACAAACGAAGAAAGTAGGCCAGAAAAGTGAATAAAGAAGTTGCTATACTAGAAGAGATTAGATCGTTTAAGATCGATTTACGGGATTTGTTACTTGTTAAGAAATTTAGGTCTACTACAATCGATAAAGTTCCAGCATCGTCTTTTCGGTTCTCCTTTATTACTCGAAGTTACACAGTCCTAAACATACACTCCATCCCATCTAATTTCTAAAATACCTGCGATCGAGCATCCCAACGACGATGAAACAAATACACGTTATATGAACCAACGACGCATCGTCGTTTTAAACGCTTTAAACAAGTCTTGCACAATTTTATATTAAAGAAGGTAAATATTTCCCTCGTAAACTTTCCCTCCCTTTCGTTTAGCTATTATTGTATAATGCATTTATGAATGTTTTTTTTTTATGTGTGCAAATGATGACGCGTTCGTCAATGTTAATTTTTGCATCCCCTTTGCCGGATTTCCGAGTACGCACAGAGCAGTCGAAATAAAATTAGAAGCCCTTCGCGAAACGTATTTTGCGACAGGGCTCCCGTCGAGGGATGAAGCAAACAGAGGCCAGTTCGCTGAAGGCGTCCACGAGGGGCAAATTAAATGTCGCGTTCATTAAACGGACATTCAGGAATGATTTGTTCGACGAGTGTCCCGAAGCTTCAGGGACAGAATCGACAACAAGAAGGAGAAATAAAGAAAATTAAAAAAATAGTACAGTACACGGGGACCATCGACGCGTATACGTTCGATACACAATGGAAGGTGTCCCGTGATGACAACCAGAATGTAAAGGCAACATTTAGAAATTTCGTTTGTAAATTCAAATTGTTTAAATTTATACTCTGATCGCTGATATTTCAATTAAATTGCATTCGAAGAGGTCTGTCGTTCCTCATGAAAACCAAGAAAGCAAAAGTGTATTTCATTGATAGTTCCCTAGTTAAAAATTCATCCGCAAGGACAGTTTATAGTTAGGAATTATTAGAAAAACTAATGAAAATGAAAAAAAAACGCAATATACAGGATGCATCGACGCGTACACGCGCGTCGCACAATGGACGTCGCCTGGAGTTCGTTTGCCCAACGCAAACGTGGATCATGCGCTTGAAAAGCGAAGAGGGATAAATACCCTTTCGGGACAGACCAACCAGGCACACGTTTCGTCGGCCACGCGACCGCCTCGACATAAATTTCGTGGATTTAATAAAGATCCATGGCTTCCGCTTTTGGGGGTCCGTCAGCTGGCCATGGCTACTTCGCCGCCAGACAGATTTTTGCGTAGCCAGCCACGGGCGTCGATGTCAGGCTATGGATCAGTTGCATAATTAAATGTTCTCCTCATTTTTTTGTTTGTTTTACCACGCTGTACATTCCAATAAGTATTTCGCGTGAATTTCATTTGGTACACGATATCAAAAGGGTGGAGTCTGTGGACTAAAAAATTGCAGTTCCTTTATAATTTATTTGTAGGAGATGCAAATGAAAAT